TTTCGAAATATTACAATTTCAACAAATAAAAGCCCTAAATATACTTACGATATTACTACTATAATTCTGTTAGGATTACGATTCAAGATTGAAAATTAAATTCGATGTGCAGTTTGTAGAATCGGACGAGTATATATATTTATACATAATTGCTAAATGTGAAACTGAACTCATATCACTCGTGTGCGTCTACCTGCGGAACCCGACCGTGCGTCAGCGAGATCCTACCAAACATCTGTTCATTCTCTGTCTCTTTCTACATTGAAATTCCTTCCATAAACTTTCTCTTCAGTATATCATATGCTTGAAATCCCTTTATATAGTGTTCTAGAATTGATTTTGAACCTAAAATCGTAGATTGACTACGTTTTATTTCGTATAATTAAAACAATAACATATAATGTAAAAAAATTAATGATTAAATAAAAACCGTCAATTTTTAACCTATAAAAGTTTTAGTATTTTTAATTTGTGATATTTAAACAAAAAATCATTAAAATCCGAGTTGGTTGAAACGGTTCCGAGATAAAAACCTAATTTGACTCCAGTAATAAATTCACACCGAATTATTTAAGTACAAAAACTTCAGCTTGACTATATAGGGCTTTTATTTCCTATTTGTTGTGTTTTACATTACAGTCTTAAAAGATACTTTATTTAATATTGTAATTCCATTCATTGTAAGTGGCAAAGCAGATAGTTTGTTGCTGTCCCTCTTTCCATGCAGACGTAATACGCGATTACTCTTCGTACGAACCGCTAATCCGCAATTGCAGAATCGCGATGCATCAGAAGCGCAATTGCGAACCGCGAATTTGTGATACGAATTGCCGGGGTCTCGTGGCATTTAAACAATCACAGTTTGGTCCCACGCAATTGCGAATCTAACAACGTCATCTTGGCCTATGTACATTAATGAGTGGGTCGTCGTGCTTACGTCCTGTTCGACAGTAATTGCAGCGAATTATGCAATTGCAAGTCGCGTAGGCGTGAAAAGGTATTGCAAATAAAAAAGGCGAATCGAGAGTCGAAAATAAAACAAACGTGGTTCTAACATTCGCAGGTATTTAATGCCCGTGTTACACTACGCATTGGAGACTGAGCTGACTGAGGATTGCGAATTGAGGATTCAGCCAATTAGAATGAAACGGATTAAAATTAAAATTACTTGATTGGTCGAATTCTAATTCGTAATTCGCAATCCTCAATCTCCAATGCGTAGTGTAACTCGTGCATAATGATGAGTCGGTGAGGGATTAACGTTTCAATTATTAGTAGGTGAGCTGCAGGATTTTCGTGCTTTATATTTAAGGATATTTGGTACGTATTTCCAAAATGATAACAAAATTATGAAAAAATGACAGATTATTCTAAATCACGTTTAAAAATAATACGACAAACTTGGTAACGGTTTACTATCTGGATCATAAGTTATTTTAATAAATAGTAGCATTTTTAAAATCTGTGCTCCAATAAAAAAAAAATATATGGAAATGTATTATAAAATAAATAATAAAAATTTCAATTTTTTAATATAAGTACATTGTGTATTCAAGATTTACATAGAGTTACATTGCGATGCATGAACTAGTTGTTCAGTAAAAAAACAAACTATTTATTCGTTCTATATCTTTGTAACTAACCAGTAAATCGCAATGAAACTGCATACATTATTTTGAATATTTAATGTACTTATAAAAGAAAAATGTAAATTTTTTATCATTAAAAAAATTTTTACTTTTAATAATAAAAATAATAATAAATAAAGTAAATAAACTATAAAAATGTGTTATTAAACGAAAATATAATCTTATTCATACAACTTTCATATGTACATAGTTTATTTAAAGTGTAAATATTAAACATACTTCCAAATTTAATTTTCCTTGCAGGGATCGTACGTCTAATTAGCCTAATACATCCTTAAAATTCCACGTATAATTCAATTGTCAATTTGATAGTTCTGTGAAAAGAGAACTGCATAAGCCGCGCACGTATCGTTCACACTTGTTCATCATTTTACGCGTTGACGTTCGACATCCTTGATAGCAGCGCGTGTATGCATCGTAAGATAATGTTATCCATCGTTTTAATTACTTGATAGAAGCACGCGTATACGAACGTGGCGCTTCTACTATGACTAGGCGTTCCTAAGCGTGAAACGTGCGATTTGGACACGTGGGCACTGAGAGAAGATTGCGGGAGAGCTACGGGAATAATAGCCACACCTGTGCATTAAGTTATTATTACGAGTGCACGAAATTTATCTATTCTCAGAGTTAAGTAATAGGCGCAGTCGTTTCGTTATCGTTTACGTCACGCATGAATATGCATGGTGCATGCATATGCATGGCAGTCTCCGTAGCACAGATGCATAAAAAGAGCGTGAAGCCGTTTACAAAAGATGACCTTGGAATCGGAAGATACGACGAAAAAAAGTTGCATATTATTCACGTCGTGCGCCCTTTGTAACGGCGAACGCCCGCAGCGCAGCGGACCGCTTTTTTTTTTTTTTTTTTTAGCGCATCGCACATATAAATGCCACTATTCTCGCCGTAAACAACGAAATTTATTTAATCACTTATATGCATAAAGTTATAATAAACCCAGGCCGAACTAAATGGACGGATCTTTATTCATGAAATACAGCTATTTGTCGCACTCGAGTGAATTTTATTCAGCCATTTGATAACACGCACAACTATGTCCGATTTGACTCAGCTGGTCGGGTATAAAGAAAGTAAATCATTCTTCTAATCCGTATAAATACAAGAAACGAGAAGACTCCGATTCCTTGCCGTATAGCGTGTTTCTTTTTCTCTCTGTATTTCAGGGAACATTTATCTGTATTTATCAGTACACGGCATTGGGGAGGATCGCATCTTGTACTTTCCCACGATGATTTATTGGCTTCTTTTCCCTTCTCTTTCTCTCAATTGTATTTTTTTTCCCAGTCGAATTGGGTTTCAAGAAGTTAAAACGCACAAAGTATCACGTATCCTCGATCGAGGGGACCAAAGTCGCGCGCGTTTCCGTAAGAATATTGCGCGAATTCCGGCGCGATCGGCACCGGTTCGCTCGCATAGCGTCACTTTTGGCCGCGTTTAGCGATGGGGATGCGGTGCCCCAGATTCGGCCGAGTCTGCTCCAACAGTCGTTCAACCCTCGGCCTAGATTCGCGGCACCCCGCGCTGACGTCATTCACTATTCCACACGCAGGTGCTCGTGTCTCCCATGTGATAGTCGCCGATATTACGTTTACACGCGGACACGTGAACGCGTATTCACACGGACGCACGTATACGTGCACGAGGTACCGCGTCATCCCCCGTTGCAGTCTCAGAACTCGAGACACCGTCGAAGTGATGCGCGAACCAGGGCGCATTGTCCTCGTCAGGCTGTATTATGCAACTTCTCTCTTGATTCCCGGTCCCTTTTTCACTCTCTCTCTCTCTCTCTCTCTCTCTCTCTCTCTCTCTCTCTCTCTCTCTCTCTCTCCACCTCTCTTTCTCGCATCTTTGCCAAGTCGGCTTTTTTGTTACCACGGCCAGATTCGCTGGTATCGTTTTATATTCATGCACCTCGTTATTATACAAGTATAAGTTGCGTCATTTCTAAATACCGGACTGCTCTCGCTGAAAACTACCTCTGGAAAACTACCTCAAAGTTAATATTAAGCTACTGCAAGAATCAATCAATTGTGTTGGCCAAATCAAGTTGAAAATAAAATCGCGATTTTTGTAAATTAAAATAGTGACTCTCTATAATATATTGGTTTCAATAGATTTTTAATTATTTAGAATGAAACTGAATATCTATTGTGAAACATGTCGGAATGAATTCCGATTGGAACTGTTATATTTTCCCTAGAAAACACGATAGAAATCTAGGGAATAATTGAATAATTCCTATTGGAATCCATTCCGACTTGTTCCATGATAGGTGCCCTGTTTCTTTTTTTTTTTAAATATATCATATTAAGGGTGCGTTCCGAGTTACGCATGATGTATCGTTTTATACTTCTTTATTAATTGGTAAACAACAAGGACAAATGATGCATCATGCGCTTCATGCGTAACTCGGAACGCACCCAATAAAGAAACTTTTTAATAGAAGGAAACAAATGAGTCTTATTGTTTTTTTTCCTAAATAAATTATAAATCATTCGAACTATTTATAGATTCGAACTATTTATATCTTATAATAGGCAATTTATATGTTAATTTTAAGATCACTATAAAAAAATTAATGTGGCATTTTTCTGTTTGATTAACGATGTCGGCGTAATGAATTTCGCAGAATAATGCAGATATTAAATGTGAGACATCTTATTATACCTAACGTATAAATTGATATAATCGGTGGATGACGTTCATTTGTCGAGTTTATACGTCAAACGACAATAATAATACACGATTACGCCTGACATAAATCGGAAAATTATGATCGATATACAAATAATAGGTTCCTTTTGATTGTATTTTCCATAATGAAACGCGAAACGCTATCTTGATTTATGACAAATGCTATACATTATGCTCTTATTATAATTTCTTTCTCCTCTTTTCTTTTTCGTGGAATATGATTATCACGTCTTTTTTTTTTTGCCAATTACGAAATGACGTCTTTCGGGATAATAAATACAAAATAATTCCAACTCAGTCATAAAATTAATGACATATTATTTTTACTCAGCGACTTAATTATGTATAATATAAGCGAAACCGTTAACGGACCTATATATATGTATATATATATCTATATATAAAACATTCTGATATATGGAAATCGAGTTATTTCTACGTGTTACGATTTTACGTTACGCTCATTCAGTACTTTGCATAATTAAATTATTTTCAATGATAACGAGCTCGAAATAGCTTGTAACACTTTTAATCCAGTTATGCTCGTTAGTTATTATCATTTGATTATAACACCTTCAAGAAAAGCCATTAAATTTTCTTCTTCTGTGAATTTTGAATTTCGTTTATTTTTTTTAGCTCACGGGTTTTCTTCAGCAACCTATTCCGTACAGCAGCATGTCGGAGGTTCGGAAATACGTTGTCGCCAGATGGGATCCTGCATATAAGAACTGCCTCAGCATCGTCCTGCCGGACGGTTCGCTTCTTTTGCAAGCTAGCAACGCTTACACGAGGGACCAATGGTACCACTCGATATTATGGAAGGTACGTTAAGAATTATTATTTATTATTGAAGAAAAATTATTATTTATTTTTGAAGAAAAATTATTATTTATTTATAAATAAGTGAAGGGGACCATATTTAATGAAGGGTTTTAGTATCTAATTTTAGGCTCCCAATAATATTTTTGCGTGAATTTTTACAATTTCCATTTTAAGCAAACTGCGAACCGATTTGCCATCATTATATATTATCTGTTATTATAATAACTAATTATCATAACAGGTAATTATTATAATAATTAATTTTAATTATTTTCATTAACGTAATTATTTTAAGCGTAAAAGATTTTGATGAATAAAATTCACGTTTATAATGCAACTTGTCAAGATTTATTGGATTTAATATTCATACGTTATCTTACGAGATTTATCATTATTCGTTTACCATGTAAATAGCGATAAAGATTGATGGATTTTTTATCCATTTAACTTACAACATTTTAGCTAACAGTAACATTGATGTGTACTCATCTTTCTCGACCGGTGGGATTTTCCGAGCAAAGAATGATTATTGTTCTCGTGAATGCGAATGTTGATATGAAATATTTTTTTAAATATTGGCCTTTCGATGCCTCACATAGATCGGCAGAGAATGGCAAACATAGGTGTTATTAACGCTCGACAATGTGAGGTTGAAGCAGGAGGAAGTGATAACAGCGCGAAAGGCGAACGTTCTCGATCGTCCTCGACCGGATCAAATCTCCCGGATACGTCAGTGTTTTATGGAGGTTGCCGCGAGCGGTTTAATATCCGGTCGGGAAATTAATCAGCAGCCTCTCGTCGTGGCTATGCGACAAGTAAATCGCAGCGATCGAACCAACCATAACGATTGATTGAATTTTATTGTTTACGGCGTATATTTCTGATGAAAACATCGTCCGTACGTTGACGACCTGAATGTCGATGACTTCTACCGAGATTGACCCTGTTTGCCAAGAGGCACATTTGCTTTCAGTTCCATTTCCACCTTCATATGGACGATGCGTTTTGACATTTAATTTGTAGCAATGAGAATTATTTTTAAGTTAGCAGCGAACAATTTTTATCTCTCTTGTTGATATTAAATGTATTGCAACGAAGATATCAGACTCGAAAAAATTCAGATCTTTTAAGTCTTCTTTGTTATATATTCCGCGATTGCTACCTTTCAATTAGTTTTTCAATGTAGATCGACGGTTTTTCTTTCGGAGATTCTGCTACCCCGGCAAAATCGATAACCACTACCGGAATCATTACTTTCTCTTCAGTTTTCAGTGGTTTAAAAAAAAAATCAACAAACTGAATCGTTAGCTAGAGATTTTTTCTGTTAGCCGGAGAGCCAAAGATTCTGCATCCAGAGAAAAGGTTGCTTCGATTTAAAGAAACTTTCTTTGCTATACGGTTAAAGAAAAAATTTCTTTGATTTGTGAACAAAAATTTCTCTAATTTAAACATTATTTTTTAAAATCAAATAAAATTTATTTGATTTAAAGAAATTATATTCAAATCCAAGAAATGACGTTTAAATCATGATTGCTTAGATTTGAACATAATTTCTTTAAATCAAATAAATTTTATTTGATTTAAAAAAATAATGTTTAAATTAAAGAAATTTTTTCACAAATCAAAGAAATTTTTTCTTTAACCGTATAGCAAAGAAAGTTTCTTTAAATCGAAGCAACCTTTTCTCTGGGTGTGGCTGAAAGAGATAGGAACCGTGTTATACACTCTTATATGCTATTTTTTGATTATAGTATAGTTACCATTTCGTGTCCTAGGGTGTTTTTATTTCCGAATTCTTAATGGTAGAACTCGCGCCGATTAAACTCGAATTCGAATTCGCGAATGATACGGAGCTGATTCATCTTCCCGCAGAAAAGTATCTTCAAGTATCAACATCTCGTCTCGATGAGCTCTCGGGAAGAGGTAATATTGCGCGAATTGCGCACCATGGTGGACTTTGCCCTGTGGACACCGCTCCAGGACGAGAGAGTGGCAGGCGCCCCGCTGGAGGCGGTCGCTAAATTGTTAGACGAGCCCAGCGTGGAGCCTGACTTGGACGGGAAAACAGAGGAGGTTGTTCACGATCGCAGGAGCTGGGCGGAGGCCGTTCTCGCCGTGGTGGCTCCGCTTTTGGAAAAAGCGGCACCGCCGGCGGCGCTTGCGAGGGTACTCGCCAAACTGGCGCAACAGCATCCGCGATCGCAACTGGTCCCGATGCTCAGTCCGGCGATCACGAGATGCCTGAAGCATACCGTTGACTTTGGCAAGTCGCCGGACATGAGAAAGCTGTTACAGGTAAGGCGTCTGACGAGTCTCACGTTACTTTGTTTGATTATAACATAGCGGGTGGCGAGATCATGGGAGACCGTTTGTTTCCTTTTTATAAGAGTTATACTCTCTAAATCTTTTAGAGTGAATTTCACTCCTATAGTAAAATCTCTTTAATTTTTTTAAGGCTCAATTTGCACTCTTTAGAGTGAGATTCCACTTAAAAAAAAAAAAAAACGAAAAGCGAGATTTTGCTACTCTGTCGATTCTAATTAGTTAAGTGACTTCTAACTTAGGATAAGTGATACATGAATGTGTATTCTCTAAATTCTTGGAATAGAATCTCATTCTAAAGAGTGGAAATTGAATCAGTCTTGAAAAAGAGTGGCTCAATTTTCAGTCTTTAGGAGTGCCATTTCACTCTTCAGAGTGAGATGTACTCTAAAAGTTTTAGAGAGTAGTTACGATGTTACATTACGTACGTGTAGGTGTTCGTTGCCGCTTTGTACGAGAACAATGATGGTGAGCAGGCGATCAGGGATTACATCTCGTCGGTTCATGGACCGGGTAGCGATTGTCCACACCCGAGAGTGCTTCCCAATCTCATGTCCATCTGTGTCGCGGCCATATTCCACAGGCAAGTTTCGTCCGAGTTGTAATGGAATTGGATATTCGTATCGGAAGTCTGATGAGATTCTCAACGATGTTGATTTCGATTTCTCAGGTTCGAAGTGTCGGGTCGCGCGTCATCGAATGAGGACAAACCACCGTCGTTACCGCCATTGCACTGTTATTTGCTCGTCTTGAATATCGCGTAAGTGTTGCGCTCACTGGCAAACAAAGCCTGACATGCTTCTCACATCCTTTCTGCTCTGCGCTTGAAACTTTCGAGTTTAAACGCGTCTCACGTATCGAGGAAACGACGTTATAGGTCGGAATACGCTGACTGGCGTTCGGGTCTTGGGGCACTACTGCAACCCGTCCCATTCCCAGAAGAGGCTTTGGCTGTGAGAGAAGTTCAGGAGTCTGTACTGATGTGCGTGATGCAACGACTGGCGAAAGACCCGAGATGCACGGTGCATCGCGTCTTGCTGCCCGTCAGGGAACCGCGTCCAGGCTGGATTCACATTGCCGCACCATCCAGCCCGGCTTGTCCAGATCGTGGGGAACTATTCGGCGAGATGGTAAAATTTTATCGAATTTCATTTCTTTTTTTTTTTGCGAGGACTGTAGTCAATATTTGTAGTCTGTTATTCTGAAACCGTTTTAAGTATTATCTTAAAATGCTAATACTCTGTGATTGGCTTATCTTACAAAACGTGGCGCGCTGTTTTTAAGATCTTAAATATAAAAACAGATTATGAATACACCAGTTTACGTCATATCTTTCTTTCGCATAATTACATTTTGTTCATAATTTTAGTGTAGAGTTTGTGCTAAATTTTGTGTAGCATTTTAAAACACACACCGTTTCTTTGCTTCTAAAAATTTTATTAATTAAATATGAAAAACCTTACACTGAAAAAATGATATTGCAATAACATTATTTTAATTAAGAACAACCTTATTTTGATTTATATATATATATAAAATAAAAATATGAAACAAATAAAATTTTATTAAAACAAGATCATGATATATTTGTTTCATTAATAGTATTCTTGAATTAACAAAATTATTTTTAGTTAAAAAATAACGTTGTTTACATAATATCATGTTTTCTCAGTATAAAAACGACATAAATACTATTTATCAGACGGACGGAGAGTAATGTTTACCTAACTCATTCATGATAATAACTAAAGAATCACATTTTTTTAGTTGTGTCACTTTGAAATAAGAGAACGATATGATGATGTTTGAAGGATTTAGGGCCGTTTCACACATACAGAAAATTTCCTCTCTTGATGTTAAATTTTTAATTAGATCCTCGCAAGGCTAAAATATTCGAGGCAAAAATTTACAGTGCTTATATATCTTTCTTTTTAAATCTTTGTCTAAATTGTTTCTACTGCCTTGTATTCAGGTCGCACGTGGCGAGAGATATAAATATCTAACGGCGAAATAGAGAGAATACGTATGGATGGATACGCAATTAACGCGCTTATCGGCGCAACGGTATCAAATTTGTTCGCACGTGAAATGATTGTGGTGCATTCAGTAGCGTAATCAACCAAGCGTTGCGAATTGCGTCTCTCTGGCCTCCGTGCGATAACACACACCTTAGTAAGATCTGTTTAGTTCAGAAACGATTCATCCCCTGAGAGGTCGAGGTGGCAGTGACGATTACTCGACGCGCTATTCGATTGGAAATTCACCTAAATATTCATGAATCGCTCTTTTGAGATAGACAGGCATCAAGAATGGACCCGTATAGACAGCATCAATTCTAATTCTCTCGGAAATAACCACGGAATCGAACTGTCACAATCGCGCGGAATTAATGAAGTTCGATTGATCGCGGAATGGCAAACGGAACAGGAGGATGTCCGATGACTCTTGCATTCTAAATTCCGTTCTCGATTACAACAGAGATCATATCCACCGTCGATTCCGTCATCGAGGAATTTTAACGAGTCAATAGAGAATCCGCGATACGTTGCCCATTTTAACTTAAATTAAATTAAGCAAAAAAGAAAATGTGGGATTTTTTCTCCATCATTTAGAATGCACGTTGCACGAAATATTCACGCGGCAGGCGTTATAATAGCGTGTTCTCAACAGCTGACGACTCTGCTGGCGTGCTGCTGTCGACGGAAGAGATTCATCGCATCCCTGTTGAAGCAAGCAGGCGATGATTGCATTCTGCTGGCGGTGCGGGGCTGCGACGCCGCGCAAGAAGCGCTCTGCTTGATGCTCGAGTGGCGCTTACTGCCGAACGAGGAGGCGAGACTTCAAATAGTTAACGCGCTTGAGTCTACAGAATCCGGAAAGGAGCGCTACGCCGCTCTCTGCCAGAGACAGAAAAATCTCCAGGAGTTGGTAAGCGAATTCGCGAATCGTTTCGATGCGAAGAATCAGCCGCCCCTTCGCACTTTCGTTCTTTTTTTTTTCTTTTGTACTAACGTCAATGATAAATCGCTGATAAATTCTGTTGGATCCTAAAGCGATTCTATATGTGCACGATATATGTATATAAATTTAAACAAATAAGGCGTATATATATAACAAAGCGTAAATATAATAATACAAATATTTTCCTCCTTTATTGGATTATGTACAATGATCAAACGTTTTCATTATCTTTGGACTCCTTCTCAGTAATTAAATACAAAGAGCTAAAATTCATCCTTAGTCCATTAGGGTTAAGTCTCAAAACAGGTTGCCAAATCCTATGATGGCGTTAGTCCAACTAAATTCCAGAATAAAAACACGTGTAAAGAAGCTTTAGATAAGATTTCTTAAATTGAAGTAATTCTTGAATTTCGCAAAATAATTTAATGCACAATAACATATTCACAAATGACATGTTCGCAGTTAAACGTCTGCACTGTTGGATATAAAAGGAGCAATGATAACTCAATTCCTTAAGTTAAATAACATTTTGTTATTTTTAACTTTTATGTGTGTTAAAATGTAAATTAATTCACTTGCGATTAGTTTCAAAGTAAACATCGCCCGTATTAACGTATGCCTTTAGTAAATTAAATTTGAGTCAAATTTAATACATTTTCTTGAATTAAATTGTTTAACTTCATTGTTTTAGTCAAATTAACGACATATTGGGCAGAAGCAGTGGTGACCTATAGAAATGATTAAAAACTTCTAATTGAGTGCAATTTAATATTATGAATTTAACATTGTTAAATAACATTTTCGATTTTGATTTTGCTAGCAACAAAAGGGCGGGCCCCGGAAATTAACGCTCCCAGTTCGAGCGACCGACGCCGACGTTGCCCTTCTGTTAGGCGGTCGTGCTCTCGGTAATCTCGAATGCCTCAGCCTGGCCTTCACCTCTGTGACGTCCGCGTGCGCCGAACAATTGATAAAGTTGCCGGCGCTGAGATATTTGAACCTGTGGGCTACGCAATTCGGCGACGCCGGCCTACAGATGATTAGCGAGCATCTGCAGAAGCTGCAGGTGCTGAACCTCTGCGAGACGCCAGTGTCCGACAAAGGCATCTCCACGTTGGCCTGTAAGTATCCTAATTCCCAAAGCTTAAAATTCAGATAATAATTTGACTTTTTTAAAAATGTGGTAAAATTAATCTTGAAATATAGAATATGAAATTTTAATTGTTCAATTTCCGTATGTCAATATACCTTAAAAAAACGCGTAAAAATTTATAGAAAATCATCAAGCATGGCCGTATTGCGTGCGAGTTAAAAATTAAAAATACATTTAACCCTCCGTCAACAGCATGAATTTTAACTCTTCCATAGGTATTCGAGAAATGGAGCAAATATTTTATTGTGTTATAAAAAAATCTAATTATTTAAAATTCTGAAAAAAATTCCGGTATATTTGTTGAACTTTAACAACGAGTTTTTACTATCATAGGAATCGGATTGCATTTTTTTACAGATTTAATTTTACTACTAAAATTCACAGTTAAAAGATCGATTTTTTTAAAGACATTAATTGGATTAAACATATTTGATGTTAAATTCAAATTAATTTTGATCTTCAAATTTTGACTTAATATAACAGAGATAGTATAAATTTTGATCTATCGCTCGAAGAAAGTGTTTTACCGCTTTGTTGCAGCATTAACCAGCCTAAGGAAATTGAATCTTAATAGTACGAAGCTGTCGGCTCAGACATTCGAGTCGTTGAAGAAGCGACTACCGGCCCTGCAGGAATTCGACGTTCGATATACGGAGGCCTGGTGACCCTGGTTTGAAGTCACGACGTCCAGCACTTCGCCCAACGGCGGTAGTGTTCGTCGTGACTTGAGAACGAAGAAGCAACGCTGAGGTGTTTGGTCGTCCCGAAGAAAATTCAACAGACGTCACGAGATGACGTCCGTATTCTCGGTGTAATCAATTCAAGTGAATATCGAGCATTGGGCGCGATAAATTCGTTTGTTTTGCTTCGATTTTGCTAGTATGCGACGTTCGCTATCAGCGTGATGATCGTTGAAAACTATGAACCCTTTGTCAGTGAAACTTTCCAGAGGAAAGGAAACGAAGTCTTCTGCACTGTGCAGGATGAGTGAAGAGCCTTTTACCGTGTTTTTAAGTGTCTTACGTATCTCGCTTCTTCTAATTTAATCGGTCGATAATTTATTCTGTCCAGAGGACGATAAGTATGCGCGATGGATCAACGGTTTCAATATATCCGTGTGTCCATTAAACGTATTTTCCCTTGTCAACTGTATTTATTTACACGAGATATTAGATCAAGATTCTCTTCCGAAACTCGTGTCAGCTAGACGGCTTGATTCCCGCGACGAACATTACTTTTAAAGTGTTCCTTCCGCATCGTCGTCGAAACGGGAAACTGTACTTTTCAGGAAACATTCCAGAATCGCGAATTCAGACGTCACTTTCCAGGAAAGACGTGCATTCGTTTGAATAAATAAATATCGGCAAGCGCGACGAGCCGTCTCTCGGACATTTGCATAGAATCCATTCGATATACGGCAAGGTGGCACATGTAACGATCGCGTCGAAGAGTCGCGATCGTTAAAGCCGGGAAACGCGAGTCATTTGCGCGGTAAGCTGTCCATCTGGGGATGACGAAGGAAGGATTTGCATAAACGCGATGTACCGTGCAGCAATAACATGCCTCAATGATCGAAAACAATCGTTGACGATCGCGTTTGATTGTTAATGGTTTTTACGCGATTCCGAAGATCAGTTTTGTCGAGCGTCAACAATTTTTTTTAACAATAGTTCTAGCGACTCCTTCCTCCGTCTATTTTTGAGAAAAAGCGATTTCGTTTTTATGCTGTTAGAAGCGCAATGCATCTTCCTCTTTTCAGCCACACACACACACATAATCCCTTGTATCTTTTTCATATGCCTATGTATCATTTCTTAACGATGTTACTTTTTATCATTCGCGCCGATAAAGTTAGAAGTCGTTTCGATCCGCCGCGTCACGAGAAGACACTTTGCTAATATAGAAGTGCCAAGTCAGTGAAAAGAAATAAAATATTTCCGGCGAGAGAGAATAGCTTCGCGAAACGATACTCGTTCTCTGCCTGTAACTTGGCTTCTCATGCAGAAATATTGTCGGACGCTTTACCAAATCATCATTGAATAGATGATGTTGTTACAAGAGTCGTGGCTAACCGGCGAAGATTGGTGTTGGTGATGACGACTATGATTGCGATGATCCCTCCGTGATCTCCGACGCGAAACAAAGACTGTCCCCAATCGTGTGTCAGCGTATTGCTGGACTGCAGCCGCCAATCGATTCCTCTGCGTGAAGTGTCCTTTTCCGTCGGGGGACACTACCGAGACTTATCCTTTTTTTTTTTTCAAGGCGTGCCCAACTGCCTTAATCAGCGAGTTCTGAGCGACCACTGCCACAACGCGTTGCGTCAGCGAGCGTGACTTTACTCTAGCAAAATGAAGGAGCAAAGCTTCGAAGCATCCCGCGTTCCGTCGCGAAGTCGGGAAGCCTCGCGTTCCACGCTTAAAACCGGAGCACAGACCTTTGCAAAACGCATAATGCATAAAGCATGAGAGAATAGATCAATCAGAATATTTCCAGTCTATGAAATGAAAGATTGGTTGATTCTCATATGTTTTATGCGTTATGCAAAGGTCTGTGCTACGGTCTTCAGACGAAGCTTCGAGAGCCGTGAGTGACTCGCACATATGCATTTCGTTCCCTAGTGTAAATAGATAGGTAGACTGTTAAGGATCGTCTCCCTCTCCCGTTTCTCCTTCGATTAATTAGATAGATTTTAATAATTTATTCTTTAGCTAGAATTTTCTCGTATTTATATACATATATTACGGTAATATTACATGTATGTCGCACGATCCAACTCGTACTAGCGCGCGTGAACACGCGTTTAGGGGAATAGTTGAACCTCGAGTTTAGAGCGCCGGCAAGAGAGGAGAGAGAGAGAGAGAGAGAGAGAGAGAGAGAGAGAGAAGGAGAGAAAGGGCGCCTCTCGAAAAGTGGCAAGATTTAGTCGTCACAAGAATCGCAGCGACGATTGACGGTTTCGCAAAAAAAAAAAAAATCTCGTCTCGATTATTGTAAATGCCGCAAGGGAACAAGCATTGTAAGAAGACTGTTTACGTCAATTTCAATAAGGATCATTAACTTAGGGAACCACGAATTAATTACTCGAGTTAATTCCTCAATGTCACACACGTCTGTGAGCGAAGCAAATAAAATTCGAATTTAATACCTCACAGCATCCGTTCTGTCACGCCTTCCATTGTCTCTCACGTCTAAGCGAGATTCGCGATCTTGCGCCGATACTTGGCTTTCGCGCGACTCGTCGAAAAGTTTCTCTTTAAGTTTTATCCTTAAAAAATCGTTTTCTCGTATGTAACTCTAGCCGTTGCCGTTGCATCGATGAAAATCTATAAAATATACTCTGTTAGACGTGTTACGAGAATGATCGAATGATTCAGCGTTAAATTATTAATAATCGTATCTTTCTTTGACATTTTCGTACGAATAAACTGTTTAATCGAAAACCATTGCCGTCTACATATGTTGCCTGTCATTTACAAACAATTCCGTGCCCTAATTGTCACTCTATTAATATTTACCAATTATCCTTCCACGGGTGAAATATCAAGAATTGATGTTTTATTTAAATGTCAAATTAATGTAATATTTATGTGTTTAAATTAAAATTTACAATTTACTATATTACTTCGATACTGCACGTGTTGCTGCATCGAATGATCAAAATGAATGATGGTGCAATTAAAATAATGACGATTATTACTTTATTTTGCTCTATTAAATACGGAAGTAATTTTGAAAATTACAGCTTAGAGAGACATAAATAAAGATCATTAAAATTATTATGATTCCATACCTCGGGCTACAGTTAATATATGTATCAGTTGATACATCGTGACATTGTTCTTTATATCTTCAGAAAAAGAGAGAGAGGAAGAGAGAGAGGTAAGTACGTTTTACTTTATAGTGAAACTGAAATAATATAATTTTTCTAAATACAACAAAAAAATGATTAATTGGTTAAATAGGAGAAATATATTCATCATTTTGTGGAATATTAAATATTTTTGTTACAAGACATCTATATATATATGTATAATATACAAAATTTATCGTAAAATTTTGAACTTATATGCAAATTGAGTTTATTTAAACTCGTCAAAAATGCGTTATTTTGACGTTTTATTGTAGTAGATTATAATTCGTTCGTGGCTCCTCGATTATTTAAAAATTAAAATTACAGAGATTTAGATTCAATCCACGTATTTTTTTACCCATTGTTACGATAAAATAAATCATCGAGAGCCTGTTTTAGAAATCGTAATTCATTCTGCGTTGTATTACTTGTTGTTGTTGATACTTGTTAGAAATCTCCACCTGAACTTCTCTCTTTAAATTATCAGGTAGCTGATCCCACACAGTTTGAGGCACGGTATCTGAAAAATAATGTTAATCGTATCTGTAAACATTATAATAATAATTTTGAGCTTATAAAATGTTTTGCACATTTCCCTGTACATTATTCCATTAAAAATTTATGGCACTTTTTTTTACATTTGTTGGAATAACTACGTCATGTTTTGTAATTAAATTATAATAAGAGTTTAATTTAAGTTTCTGATTCATTAGGTTTGCGCTTTGTAAAAATTGCTGTCGAGAGATTACTTTACCTGTGCACCTATACAGTAAATCCGACCAGGTGATCATTTCCTGCGAGAAGCAGTAGACACCTAGTTTACCACCTTGCAGAGTCGAGTCGAACACGTTCCCAGAGTCGATTATCTGCTGTGTGCCCTGATACAGCCAGAATCTGATCAGGCCGATCTTAGGTCTGTGCAACAGATGCCACCTGTATGATACTCTTGGCTGCCAACTGATTCCCGGTTCTCTCCACAAGACCCTCACCTGATTAGGGGTGTCTTCCTTATGCCAGAGACTGTTTCGGAGCATCTCGCCCGGTCCGGTGTCGGATTGAACGAGCTTCATTACAAACCCAGGATCCGCTTCAGCGCGGAATGGGGATGGTTCCCAGTAAACCTGTGCATTCCTCTTCCAGTAAACAACGTAAAAATGTCGATTATCCTGGTAGGAAAAGACGAAGCCCGCGAAATCGTCGTCGTCATCGTGATTATCGACGTAGAAAGTTCCTTCGAAGTCAGCGTTACTTAGCTCGTCCGGTCCTTTGTAGATGGAGAAATCGATGAAAAGGATGTAATTATTGTAAACAAATTAATTAATAATGAAAAAATTAAGATTTTATCTTCTTTTATACTTGTTGAATTTCAAGCACTACAATATAAATAATTTATATTGTATAGCAATTTTAATAGCGCGAATTCCCAGCAGCATGTTTTTTACTTTTTCTTGTTTTTTGTTCATTTCAAGAATTTGATTATCTTACTTAGTTTTTTGAAGCATTGTAGAAATTTATTGAAAGGCGACTTGAAGATTTTATATGCCTTTTTCATGTATCTTTACGATATATATAAACCTACCTATCGCGATTCCGGGATCGCTGTTAAGAAGCTGTTGAATCTCAGCACCTTCATGATGAATTCTCCATGCGGGATCTTGTTGCGCTGTACCGTATGGATCGAGAGCGACTGTAAAGTATTTACGGAAATCCGTTGTCCATATTAAACTATTATTTGGACAGTTGTCCTGGGTATTAGTAACTGTATCGTTGTCATTATCGTTCCAGCATGCATCGCCAATGCCATCGTCTATAAAACACAAAATATTATTCTCTTCGTGTTTCGATAATATTTCCTTTTCTACAACTAATAATAATAACAATATTTCACAGAACGCATTACATTATAATAAATATTAAATTTTAATGAGTATTTATTTGAATAATTCTAAACAAATATTTACTAAATGTATACATTTAGTAAATGTTACATTTAGTAATTCAATAAAAAATAACAATTAAATCAAATTAATGGTTTTCGTATCAAATAAATATATATGTTTTATTTATTTTTGTTATATAACTAAATATATTTTTACTACTTCTATACAAAGAAATATGTATTAAGATTTAATAAATTTTTTATTGTGCGATATTCTGTTTAAAATCAAGAAAATTTTGAATAATGATTTAATATTTTAATATAGAATTTTATATTTCTGTCTGCAGAAAAAAAATCAGATTACAATCTAAACATTATTATAAAGCAATCCGTTAAAACTTACGATTAAGATCACGCTGATTCGGATTGTAGACGTAACGACAGTTATCGCTCCCGTTGGGTACACCATCTCCGTCGATGTCGTCGTCGCATTCGTCGCCTATGCCGTCACGATCGCCGTCGTTCTGTCCGGGATTCGTCACGTCCGGACAATTGTCCTTGTCATCCTGGACACCATCCCTATCGCGATCCGCGTTGGTATCGCAAACATCCCCCACGCCATCGCCGTCGATATCATTTTGGTCAGCATTGCTAATACTAGGACAATTGTCACAGATATCGCCGATGCCGTCCGCATCGGTATCGCGCTGATTTGAATTCTTTACGTTGTCACAGTTGTCTTGATTGTTAGGTATACCTGAACGATATCCTTTTATTAGCAACATCATTTATTGTCAACAACTTCAACTAGTAATTTTTTAATGTAAAATGATGAAAAAATGTGTGAAAATTTTTAATTCAAAATAAAATAGAATAATAATATTTGAGGCTTTAAGAATAAATATAATACAAGTAATAAAAAATACCTATGCGAGCCTCCATGAAATTGGTACGTAAACTAATTTATGTATCAATATCTGCGAAGATTCACATAATCATATGTGTATGTTGCTTGTATTCTTTTTTAACGTTAAAAATTTACCATCGTTGTCCAAATCGTTATCGCACGCGTCACCCTCGCCATCGTCGTCAAAGTCCTCCTGATACGGATTCCAATTCATCGGGCAATTATCACAGGCATCACCGATTTTGTCGCTATCGCTGTCGAGCTGGTTTGAATTATAAATGAGCCAACAGTTATCGGTCAGATTCAATACGCCGTCATTGTCGGCGTCATCGTCGCAAGCGTTACCGATACCATCATCGTCGGCATCCTCCTGGCCACTGTTCGGTACCGTCTGACAATTGTCAGCGTGACAGCTACGGTCTTGGCAATTAAGACTCCTGTCGGGGATGCCATCGTTGTCGCTGTCGGTACCACAAAAATGCCCGTTTCCAGCCCAACCAACATGACACTATAAAAGATTTTGATTAAAAGAGACGAGTTTTAATCAGTAAAATTAGATAATAGGGATTGTAGTTACAAATTATTATAATTATAAAAATCTAAAGAGAATTACAAAGATGAGGACAGCTCTATTTTTCGTTAATTTTCCTAAATAATATCCAAGTTTATTCCACTAATTGTAAGTTCATATTTTATTTAGGTATATCAGTTTTCGTTGGGTGATAAATACACAATAGAGACGCTTACCTTGCATGTAAATTCGTAGGCATACATGGCGATGCAATAGGCATTGACATCGCAGACCGTTGTCAAACCTGGGCAGGCACCTTCCTGAACATGACATCCTGTCGTTTGATTGCCAACGTAACCACTTCTGCACGGACCGCATCTGTAGGATCCCTTCAGGAACAGAAAGTAACATATTTGAAACAGAACAAAATGGATTTTAATTTGTTAAATATCCAGCAAACAAGCCGACGTTATTTATCGTCATTTTGGCGTCTTTAAAGTTAAAATAACGTCAAAATGACAACAAATAACGCTAATTTGTTTGCTGAGTAGACATCTCACCTCCGTGTTAATACACTCCGAATAAGGATCGCATCCGCCGTTGTTGGTCTCGCACTCGTCTATGTCCTGGCAGATCTGTTTTTGCGTCCTGGCCATCTCGATACCGACGCCTTCCGTCATCGGCCCCGTGTAACCTGTCGGGCAACGGTCGCATCTGTATCCAGGATGGAGATTCATGCACCGTACTCC